GCTGGGCCTCACCAAAGCCCTGGCCCCCGAGCTCTGCCCCTGCAACATTCGCATCAACTGCCTGGCCCCCGGCATCATCCAGACCAAGTTCAGCGCCGCTGTGAGTGGGGGGCGGGGCCAGCTGGGGGGGGGGCCTGGCGGCGGGGCCTCTCTTGGGTCAGGGTAAGAGGGACGAAGGTCCCTGCATGGACTGAGAACTGGTGAAAAGCCAGGAGACAAAGGGTAGGAAGAAATGGTCAGTTTTCCGAATGGAGGGGTAACTCGGGGTGTCCCCAAGGGTCAGTCCTGGTCAGCGTATTCGTACATGATCTGGAGAAAGGGGTGAGCAGGGAGGTGGCAAAGTTTGCAGACGACACTAAACTGCTCAAGATAGTTAAGACCAAAGCAGACTGTGAAGAGCTTCCAAAAGATCTCGCAAAACTAAGTGATTGGGCAGCAAAATGGCAAATGAAATTTAATGTGGATAAATGTAAAGTAACGCACATCGGGAAAAATAACCCCAAATATACACAGAATATGATGGGGGCTAATTTGGCTACGACAAATCAGGACTGAGATCTTGGAGTCATCGTGGGTCGTTCTCTGGAGACGTCCAGGCAGTGTGCAGCGGCCCTCAGACAAGCAAACAGGATGTTAGGAATCATTAAAAAAGGGATAGAGAAGAAGACGGAGAATATCTTATTGCCCTTCTATCAATCCACGGTACACCCACATCTGGAATGCTGCCTACAGATGTGGTCTCCTCATCTCGAAAAAGATCTACTGGCATTGGAAAAGGTTCAGAGAAGGGAAACTAAAATGCTGAAGGGTTTGGAACGGGTCCCCTGTGAGGAGAGATTAAAGAGACGGGGACTTTTCAGCTTGGAAAAGAGGAGACGGGGGGATAGGATCGAGGTGGGTTTAGAGAAAGTGAATAAGGAAAAGTTCTTGACTTGTTCCCGTAATATAAGAACTAGGGGCCACCCAATGAAACAAATGGGCAGCAGGTTTAATACAAAGAAAAGGAAGTTGTTCTTCACACGGCGCACAGTTAACCTGTGGAACTCCTCGCCGGAGGAGGCTGTGAAGGCCAGGACTAGAACAGGGTTTAAAAGAGACTAGATACATTCATGGCAATTAAGTCTGTTCCTGGCTATTAGCCAGGCTGGGTAGGAATGGGGTCCCCAGCCTCTGTGTCTAGATACATTCATGGCAATTAAGTCTGTTCCTGGCTATTAGCCAGGCTGGGTAGGAATGGGGTCCCCAGCCTCTGTGTGTCGGAGGGTGGAGATGGATGCAGGAGCGAGATGGCTGGATCATTCCCTGTTCAGTTCTCTCCCTCTGGGGCACCTGGCGCTGGCCACTGTGGGCAGACAGGACACTGGGCTGGATGGACCTTTGATCTGACCCAATATGGCCGCTCTTATGTTCTCATAGGGGGCACAGCGGGGGCGGAGCCTCGTGCTGGGGGCGGGGCCTCAGGTCGGGGGTGGAGCTGGGACCCCCAGCTCTGGTTTGTCCCCCAGCTGTGGAAGGACGAGGCGGTGAAGGAGAAAATGATGGCGAACCTAAGAGTGCAAAGGTACCAGCAGCCCCCGTCCCCCCATCTCCCCGTCCCGCCTCCCCGCCCCCGCTGACCCTGTTTCTCCTCCC